GGTGTGAGTTAGGGAGAAAAGTTAAAAATGAAAAAAAAAAAATGGAGGGTTTTTTTTTTTTTTTTTTTTTCCTCCCCCTTAAGGTGGTCCACCTCCTTCCACAGTCAGCCAGTCTGCCCCCGTGACTCTCCCTGGAAATCTTCCCTCTAGCAGCCCTTACACAATGCCTCCAGAGCCGACCCTCTCCCAGAATCCTCTCTCCATTATGATGTCTAGGATGTCCAAATTTGCCATGCCCAGCTCTACGCCACTCTATCATGATGCCATCAAAACTGTGGCCAGCTCGGATGATGACTCCCCTCCAGCGCGCTCCCCAAACTTGCCACCTATGAACAGTGTACCAGGTAAGAAACTCTAGGCAATGTAGGTCCAAGCTATCAGGCAATGCAGTGAGGGTGATTTTTATGGAAGCTTCATCAGATGCGGAGGGTAAGAGGGAAAACCTTGATGAGTATAGCCGTGGAATGTTTTTGAGGAGGGCAACAACTGCAATTCTCAGAAATGGGGAGACAGAAACTCTCCTTGCAACCAATTCTTCTGTCTAGTTTTCTTCAGGAAAATGTCTTATCTAGAAGACCCATGTGCCTGGAGACCTTTCCACTCAGGTTGACTGGAAAACTTGTTTGAGTGAAGGCTGCTTATGGGAATAAGGGTCAAATCTACAACCTGTTATCTGGAGGAAACCTTTCTTCCCCTGTCTTAAGACAGTGTTTTAGAAGCTTCAGAAATTTTTTCCAGACGTTGGATCGTGTAGTCTTCCCTTCTCCTTCATTTTTGTGTATTGCTTCTGTTTCAGAAGAGAGTGTTACAGCGCTTCCCCAAAATACACATCTGCTGCTACAGAAAATGTGTAATGGCAGGTGACCGTAGGCAGGGCTGAGGGAAACTGTCCTGTTCTCTACTTCAGAGTTAGAGGAAAAGCAAAATAAAACGTTGTCTTCTTGGGTTGTCTTATGGGTGAACACGTTTATATGAAAAATCCCTGCTGATTGCTTACTGTTCATGAGCACATGCATATTTAATGCAAAAATATGTGTTAGCCCCTCTGCCCCGTTTCAGTTAATGTAGTTGAAGGAAGGAATGACTGGCTGTTTCATTACCTTGGCAATTGATGGACTGAGAATTGGGAATTCTTGATGAGTTTACTTATAGGTTCACTATCTGTTCCACATAGTAATGATCAGAATTGCTGAATATACCTGGAGAAGCTTGCTAATTGAATAAGCTTGTGATGATAGCTCATTAACCTCAGTGATCATGTCCTCCTAGTTTTATGAGGACTTCCTGATTCATGTACTTCATAAGTCTTGAAAGGAGATTCGGTTACCTCCCAGTGGACAAGCGACCATATGGTGATAATCTGCTGCCGACATGTTTGTCACTGACTGCCTTGCCTAGACTGCCAGGAAAGTAGTAAAAGTATGGGTTGGACTGAGATCTACTTCCAGAGCAGCTTTAGTCACTTTTTGATAGAGCAGTGACAAGCTTAGGGTGGCTGCTGTCCAGGTGGCATCAATTTCCTGCTTAATACAGCATTTTTCAGAGCCATGACTGACACCTTTTTACAAGCGATTTTTTGAGGGGCAGAGGGGGAATATGGCAGAAAGCTCTCTGGCATCTTCATTGTGTTTTATTGACTGTTATCTAAATCTGACTCCTTATTTCTTCCCTAGGAATGGGCATTAATTCTCAGAATCCTCGAATTTCAGGTCCAAACCCAGTGGGTCCAATGCCAACCCTTAGCCCAATGGGAATGACCCAGCCTCTTTCCCATAACAACCAGATGCCCTCTCCAAATGCTATGGGACCCAATATACCTCCTCATGGGGTCCCCGTGGGACCTGGCCTGATGTCACACAACCCGATGATGGGGCATGGATCCCAAGATTCTCCAATGGTACCTCAAGGACGCCTGGGCTTCCCACAGGGGTTCCCTCCTGTACAGTCTCCTCCACAGCAGGTGCCATTTCCACACAATGGGCCCAGCGGGGGGAAGGACCTCTGGGGCGTCCTGCTAACCTGCCCCAAAGTTCGACAGATCCAGCACTTTGCAAGACTGGAGGCCCTGGTGGTCCAGATTCCTTCACTGTTCTTGGAAACAATATGCCTTCAGTTTTCACTGATCCGGAGCTGCAGGAGGTGATCCGTCCTGGAGCCACGGGAATACCTGAGTTTGACCTGTCCAGGATTATCCCATCGGAGAAGCCTAGCCAGACACTACAGTATTTCCCTCGTGGGGAGGTGCCAGGCCGCAAGCAGCCACAGGGTCCCGGACCTGGGTTTTCCCACATGCAGGGGATGATAGGAGACCAGACCCCGAGGATGGGACTAACGCTACCTGGCATGGGGGGCCCCGGGCCGGTGGGGACTCCAGATATCCCCCTTGGGACAGCTCCATCCATGCCAGGCCATAACCCGATGAGACCGCCTGCCTTTCTGCAGCAAGGCATGATGGGGCCGCACCATCGCATGATGTCACCAGCACAAACGGCGATGCCTGGCCAGCCCGCGTTAATGAGTAACCCCGTGGCCGCTGTGGGCATGATCCCAGGCAAGGACCGAGCCCCTGCAGGGCTGTACAGCCACCCAGGTCCTGTAGGCTCACCTGGTATGATGATGTCAATGCAGGGCATGATGGGACCCCAACAGAACATCATGATTCCCCCCCAGATGAGACCCCGCGGTATGGCTGCTGATGTTGGCATGGGAGGATTTAGCCAAGGCCCTGGAAACCCAGGGAACATGATGTTTTAAGCTGCTACCGTAAGACTGGATGTTCTGATCCTTGTCAAGATGAGATTCCAAGTCCTGAGAGCTTTTTTGGGAGCTTCAGGAGTACAGTTTGGCCATGCAATAGGTGAAAAGAGACCAGAGGACGCTTTGGGAAATCTCGAATGTATGGAATTACCTGAAAAAAAAATATTCATTTTAACAGGTTGTTTTTTTTCGTTTGTTTGTTTTTTTTTTTTTTTAAGATTTATTTTTTAAAAATTATTTTTGTGGACTTGGGTATCCCGTGACGGCACCTGCTTTGAGAATCTGTAGCTGTATTTTGAGAATTGCCATTTGTCACAAGTTGCACCATTCTCTGTATGTTTACGTCCTTCGGACTGGCTTCTCCCAGGACTTTCGGTTATTTTTGGGTTTTTTTGTGTACTGTACTATATTGTAAAAGGGATTTTAGCAGAGACTTTAGTCTTTGGGGTGAGAGGAGAATGGGATTCTAGGCTGTTTACTTTAGGTGGAGAATCCATCTTCAGAACTTCGGACTATTTTCCTTCAACTCCAATGTATAGAAAAACCAAACTACGACCTCAGAGCAGAGTATTAATGAAAAGCACAAAAAGGAACTTAAGTTCAGTGAGGGGAATCTTTTAAAAGAAATAAATAATAAGTTAAGGACATATTTTTCAAATTATGGCGTGCTGTCCAGCACCTTCTGTCTCTCCCTCCCACTCTTTATTAAATAGGCTTCTCTCTCTCTCCGTCCCCCTTCTGTCTCCTCCTATGGCAGCTGCAATACATTGTGTTATTTTGGGGAGAAAATCTAGGAGAGCCTCTCCTCATGTGGGGACTCTCCCCACTTTCAGGAAGGGGCTGGACTTGGACACTGTTACATTCTACAGTAGTCTCTCTCACTGTTTCCTATTCTCCTTTTCTTAGAAACCCCAAGTGATTTTATTAATGTGGGAGTGGAACAGACACTAAAAGTTATCCAGGATTTTTTTGTGGTTATTTTTTTTTCTTCCCCAGCGTAAAACGTTCTGTGTAACCTCCATTAAATTTGGTACAAAACCACTCGCCAGGGCTGTGGTGTCAGAAAAATAAAATATATTGTTTCTTACAAAAACGAACTGTCTTTTTTTATCCAATTCAGCTGTGTCTTGTGTACATCAGAGGGCTGGCCAGATGACTGTTTGCTCTTCCACATGATCACAGCCAGTCTAGAGGCTAGGTGGGGCAAGCCTTGGCAGCTCATAAAGATCTGGTCTGTAGGCAGCTGTGTGCTCCTTGCAAGGCACTTCTCTAGGCTTTCTCCTGAACTGAGAAAAGCTTGTTTTTCCTTGGAGTTGGGTCTTATTTCAGAACACCCCCAAGGATGGTGGTTACAGTCTTCCTTCCTCAATTTGTAGAGGGTCAAGGAGTAGATAAAACTTGTTGCCTCTGTCGCCTCCTCTTGGTGAGTTTTTGCAGCGCTTCCAGATACGTGGTTTTGAGCTTTCCCGAAGCGGTGATGTCTGTCGAGCACTGGAGACTCTAATGCTGCATGAGACTCTTGGGTTGTGGGTCGCCCTGGGGGCTGTTGAACTGGGTAGAGTCTCTGACTTCAGTTGCTCAGAGGCTGAGATAGTGGGGACTGGTTGAACTTAAATAACAAAGGTGAGAGATAAATCGTTGGTGAGCAGATTTTTATCAAGACAACCCTGCTGGGTAAATTGTTGCTTTGCTGCGGTTCTCATTGATCGCTTCCTAATCCCCTGTCTGTCTTTTCAAACTTCTCTCTGAGAGAATTTCAACAAGCCAGTTTTGTGGCTTTGTCTATGAGGAGTGAAAGACTAGACACTAAAACGCTGACCATGAGTTGAGTACGGCTCCTGGAGAAGACCAGGATGTGTTGGAGGTAGATCCTTAGGGAAGGGAGTGGCCTCTGGAGCTGTCTGCTGAGGCAGGTAGCAATTTGTCTCTGCTCCCTCCCCCTCCACCAACACTGTATATGGAGTAAGTAATGCCTTGTTCTGCCTTCCCTTTACCTGTATGTGAACCTATTTCAACGAGCAGTTAACTCAAAGGGCTGGCTGTTAGTAGGAAACTTCAGGTGGAGAATGAGCAGCTTCGATATACTTGTGCATCAGAGACTTTCAGCGATCTTTAACAGGTGGAAAAAGAGTTGTCCATGGCCAGTTTACCAAAGTTTAGTCGCTAGTGTTACAAAATGCGTGAACCTGTGCACCTTTGCAGGCACACAATCCTCCACACATTCTGGTGGCTGTTTCCAAATTCACCTTTGTTCTGTCATGCAAATTTAAAATGATTTTGGGTGAGAATTACTCTTTTGACAAAGTGTGGGATGTATGTTTTGGTGCTTCCCTCTAACAAGACAAGTAGTGTGCCTGAAGCAGGGGCCTGTCAAGTTTTTAGAAAGAGCTGACAATGACACAGTAAGTGTTATTTCTGTACTACAGAGTTACCTTTTCTTTAAATGGTTGCATATCTTCCTTTTTAGGATCTCGCACAGGAGCTGTCACAGTGCAATCTTTATAAGTGTTGCCCTTTCTGCCATATGACTTCTGAATATTTTTATAATGATGAATAAAGTAAACTTCCTTGATCAACATAGAAATAACCGGGATTTTTTTTAATGATTTTCCTCAGTGACTCCTATACCTGCTGAGGTATTTTGACGAGCAAAGGATTGCAGAGGTGATTGTGACTTTAACTGAGGAAAAATTAGCATAGGTGGTTGATAGTTTCAAAGCTACTTGATGGTGAGAGGACAGATTTTTAAGCTGCTGGATAACTAAAGCTCCTTCTGTGTCCGTCTAACATAAAATGTTGGCATTTGATAAGTTAAAAAGATCTTTTCCTATAGAAGATGCAGAAGACTCTAGGTTCTCCTGAGTCCGCACAGGTCCACTTAACCTCAGTGGCATTACCTGATTTACACCGGGATAATTGACAGGAGATTTGAATGCTTTATCTGGCTCTGGTCTGAAAATCGACTTGGTGGGTATAGACAGAGCTTCTTTGTTTTGCTCTGATTCTACTTTTCCCTTTCCACTTTACAAATGAAAAAGCTTTCTAGCTGCCAGCCTTGCAAATTTACCTTGGGATCTGTAAGTCAGGCTCTGTTTTCTCCTGCTTATTTATAATCAATAGTAACTGTGACTCAGCTCTGGTAGTCATGGTGCGGTTGAAGATGGAAACTGGGGTTGCCATTTTTAGTCCCCTCCCTTCCCCCCGTTTTTTTGAACTTTCAAATTCTCCTCCTCCACCTTTGTTTGAAAGAATGAAATAGAGTTTATTCATACACGCTTGGCTGCTCTTCCTCTCTAGTAACATGGGAGGAAACAGTCTGCTGTTCAAATTATCTCATCCCAGATGGCTGCGCAGCCGGAGTGCAGAGAGACTTAAAAGGTAAACCCAGCAGATGGTGAACTTCTGAAACGCAAAAGTAATGCGCCACCTAAATCAAAATTTAAAATATTTGAAATCTGTTTGTTTTAAAGTCGTAGACTGTTGCAAACAGGTCATCTGTAAAGTACACTGGCAGTTTTAAGCACAATCCAAAAAAATTGATTTGAGCTTCGTATGTGTATCATGGGTTAGCTTATCTACCAAAGAATATTGCAAACAAGTAACTAGTCTTAGTTTAGTACTGAACTCCTGGTGGTACCAGTGGATAATGCTTTGGAGAAAAGACCAGCACATCGAGATCTGATATGCGTCAGTCTTATTTGGGACTTGAATGCTGAGGGTGCTTGTGGTATGATACACGTGTCCCAACGTGGAGTAGATGGGGATAACTGAATCCGTCCTGATGATAAATGGGAATCGTAAACAGAGTCCTTAGACTATTTGAACTTAGCGTTTGTTATGATGAAATGTTCAGGCTGTTACAAATATGCTATATACAGAACTTAATTTTGTGATGCTTGATATGTTGATTGTCTATTGTGCAGACAATATTCTGCAATTCTGATGGCAGAAAAAGCTACATTTGATTAGTGTATTTTTTTCTGCACTCATGATTCTGAATACTTTCCTCATGCAGTCTTGGCAGGCTGTATGCTGAAACCTGTTCCCTATTTTGATCTTTCTTGAGGAGAAATGATCCATATTCGATGTAGGTCTGCAGTTAGTGGAGCACACTTCACTGCGTCGACTTGGTAGTAATTCTGAAGCTAAAAAAGATGCTTTTTGTCTTGTTTCTGTGCTGAGCGTGTCATTTTCCTACTGCAGTGACTTCTTATTGAAAGATCTTTCAGTTTTTAGGCAGTTCACTTAGTTTCAAATTATTTCTGCTAATGCTGGTTTTTGTGATAGACATGTAACACTTTGTTATTGGTGTTTCTGTTTAAAATTAAAGCACATCATCTGGAGTGTGTTTCAGGCCTTAAAAAACCCCCCAACCCAAACTGCTAGCTTAGTTATGTGGGAACTATTGACAAATACACTGAGCTCGATGTCCTCTTGATCCCCTCTGACTTCCGACGGGCAAACCTTCAGTGCCACGCTTGAAGTGCTTCATGGTGAGATCTAGTTCCTCACTGTGACAACTTACTACACACTCAGGTTTTAACCTTACAATTGTTTTTGTCTGAGTCCGAGCACTAGTAGGGGAAGAAAAGAGGTGCTGTTTTAACTGGGATTCTGGAAACTCTAAAAGAGGATATTTTACATAAGGAGAAAACAAAATCGTAAATCTGAGTTGATATCTTTCCTCCTGATCACCTACTGTACTACTGTTGCCTTAAATATAACATAGTATGTGATGATGGAGTTGCAATGCAAAAAGAAAAGTAAAAGTCTGTTAGGTTAAACTGAACAGCCTGGGTTAACTGCACTGAATTAAAATAGTGATGGTGGCAAACTAATTTGAGTTAGCAGCTCTAGTTCAAGTTTATAAGGGAACCTGGGGCTGTATTTGTTAGCTGATTTTGGAAGTTCTTGTATTAACAACCCTGGGGTAAGAAAAGTGTCTGCTCCCCCCCCCCAGCACGTCATCTCGATTTTGCCTCTTTCTCAGTTTTTGGTGACAGCAGGCCTACTCCACATAGATTCCTTAGTTCCTTAAGGAACTGTTGGTTTCTTGAAATATTTATTTCATGTTCTCAGAAATGCCTCAGCCCTTCCATACTGTATTTGCTGTTTGGCACTTCCCACTTAACTCTGTCCTTTGGTCTTAAAACTCTTTCATTGTTCCACCAACTCCCTTTTGAAACAATTATTTACATCTGGTTTGGTCAGCAATAGTTCTTTCATTGTACTGTGGGCCACCGCTACTTTGGAGTTGCTCTGCGGAATTAGAGCAAGGCATGGCCCAAGTAATTTCATATGGAGGGGAGAGGTAAGGCCCAGGTCAGGTGCTGAGGGCAGTGCAGAAACCCCTGTAAGAGACAATTCCAAAATAACCTGCTCCCAGAGGAGGCTTCTTCCTAGCCTATTTTTAGAGGTTTTCCACTGTTTCTGAAATGTATGTTATCCTGCCTAGAGTGATTTGATTATTTTAACGGCGTGAATGCAATGCCCTTTAATAATCCTCTGTGTACTTGGAACAGCTTGTGCTGCTGAGATCTGTGGATCTTGGGTGTGTTGCAGTTTTTAACCGGGCTGCTGTTCCGTTTTGCTGGGATATGCTCTTGCTCTTGTTTTAGGAGAAGGTACGTGAAATCCTGTTTTGTCTACTGATATGGCCAAGGGCTTTGGTGACATTCCCTGATGTGCCCTTTCCCAAGCAGTCCACGTCTGCCAGGAGTAACTCACTATCATATACCTGTTTCCATCACTCTTCTCCAAATACTTTATAGCATGTTTAAGACAGAGATTAGAGCAGAACACACTGTTCTTAAGCAAGGGTAGGCCATTGATTTTTATTTAATGACATTATGTTTTTAGGCTGTATAAAGAACTTGATGGAAAATAATGTTTTGTTCGCTTTCTTGACAACTTCTAATAGCAGTTCACTGAGACCTCCATTTGCTATACTAAATACAACAATGTATTTAGTATTCAAATTGTTCTGTTCATTGTACAGGGTGTCAACACGTAGTTTAGGTGGGAGCAGTTTAATGAAAAAGTAGAGCTAAATCCAGCCCACAGTTCTCAGGGAGAAGTAAGGCTAGAGGTACTAGCATTAGTACCTCCAGTCACATAGCCATCAGTGACTTACATCAACCTCACTGCAGTCTGCTTTCTTTGAGTCACAGGGGGTAACCAAACCAAAACTGCAGGGTCATTTTACAAAGTGGTCCCCCTACTGTCATCTTTTCTTATCGCAGAGAAAGTGGCTCAGGACCCAAGTTTTACTCACTAGCAACACAATGATCCTTAGTACTGTCTTAAAGGAAAAAGTGTCATCATCTCAGCTCTAAGAACTAGAAGTACTTCTGCTGACTATGCTGGTATATTCCCAATACTACTTCAGCAAGTGCAAAATAGATACAGTGCTGCCGAAAGCTGAAGTCCATAGCAGCTGCCTGGACTTCCTCCGTTAAAGCACATTAAGCGGAGTTCACCAGGAGTGCATGTTCTTGCACTGTCGTGGTTTTGCATGTTCACAGCAGAATTTCTGTATTTATAGGAGTGCAGGGAGAGACGTGGAGTCTTTCTGTCCCCTTGGAGAGGTTTTGTATGCACAGAAGTGCCTTCAAGTAGACGGGGTAGCTAAATGCAAGCAATTTGGGAGGATAATCTCTCTGCAGAGCAACTCTAGAACATGAAGAAAGGAAAAGGGGCAGTGGTTTCTGCAGCATTCTGGGTATGAAAACAGTGGTGATGTCAAAGCCCTTAAGTCTGGTAGCACAGAGCAAGCTGAGCTTCATCCCACAGTCCCAGTGTAGGAGGAAGAGCTGTGTTTTCTCTTATCCCTGAAACAGCAGGGCAATTCAAACAGGTCTATTCTCTCTTTCGCTGTTTTCAGCCTTTCCATTCCTTTCTATGGCTACCCCAGAAGTGAACTCCAGCCATTCTGTTAGTGGCTTCTTTCATCTTGCTGCTAACAGTGAAGAGAGACACTGTGCCACCCTGTGTCTGGTAGGAATAAGTCTCCCCATCTAAAACAGCTTTAGAATGGGGAAGGCTGGGAAGAATTTATTTAAAAAAAAAAAAAAAAAAAAGAAAAATAGCCAAAGGTTGTGACAATAAGTTTAATTTAAGATAACTACTTATGAGTCAGTTTGCTGATTCTGCTCCATTTGGGAGCACAGGTTATTGTATTCCTCTGGACTGACAGAGTACTGTGAAAGAACGTGTAGAAACTCTTCAAGTGGACAGAGAGCTGCCCTACATCCTTTCACCACTTGCTCCTGCAAAGGCAAAGAGACAAAAACCACAGATCTTGCACATACATAGCCCTTTTTTTGTTGTTACTGATGCATTCTGCAGCAGGGAAATATGTTAAGGCAAACACAGAGGCAGATGTTAAAAGACTTTGCCTAAAACTCACACTAGGTCAACTGCCAGCTCAAGAGAAAAGGTATCTTGGCTAGCGAGCACATGCTCTAGCTGTATTACCGTGTTTTTTGGCTTGATGGCCAAATAAAACAAAGTCTTGTGTCACAGCTTTATGCAAATACATGCAAAACCAAATGACCGTAATATGCATGAACTTCCCTGCAGTCTTACCTCTCCATGGTAAGACATTCGAACAAACCACTCTTTGGATTGTTGGTGCTGATACAGTTCCAGGGTCACATCTGCAGCGTAAGGTGGCCACTTGTGATCAAAGATGCCCAGGGCCACCAGAAGAGGAATAAGGGTAACGTCATGAGAAGCATAGAGAATGAGCTTTCTGATTTAAAAAAAAAAAAAAAAGAAAGAAAAAAAAAAACCCTTAAAATGTTAGCTCTGTTCCCCATGGATAGCCAGTATCACTTATGCTTTTTCTAGCAGATAAGCACTCATTCTTTTTACCCACACATTCAACATCCTTCTGAACTAGCTCTTCATACTGACAGAAAGTCAGAATTTATAACAATTAGAAGAAGAGATCTGCCCTGTACCTGGCCTTTTCAGCTGGAGATGAGGGATCTGTTGCTTCTGTAATGTTCTTCTGTAAGGTACAGAAAAGGAGACCAACACTCATCTGAAGAACTTCTCTATAAAAGAGGTAGAAATAAATCTACTAGCTTTTTTTTTTTTTTTAAACCTTCAAATTAGGTAGTTTCAAATGAACACCTGGGAACCTGATTTTCTCTTACAAGGTGATAAAGTCTGCTGAATGCAGGTAAGGACCATTAAATGTGATTCCTACAGTTACTTTTTTTTTTTCAACAATTGCTTAGTCACCACAAAGATTCTTATGTGATTGCAAATTGTGAGGGGAGAGGTGTTAAGAAAGCAGTCCCATGAGATGTGGCCCACATAAAGGAAAAACCAGAGCGTGCTTGATGTTCTATATCCTTGTATTATTTTGTATCTGTAGTTGTGATTTTGGGTGCATGGATTTCAGCTAGGGAAGCTAGCCATAGCTGACTGCAAAAGACTGACTGAAGGTGTTTTTTGTTTGTTGGGTTGATTTTTTTTTTGATAGGGAGGGGAAACGTAAGGAGAAGAAGGCAACTCTGTTTAAAGATTTGTTTTTATCCCAGTACTGAACAAAGAGGAGATGTTTATACAATTTCTGGTGTGAAGAAATGTCTTCTTTTGAGTACATCAAAAACGAGTACATCAGTGGGAATGGAGGATGAACTTGACTGTGGCTCTCTCCTAGATGTCGTGAGACTGGGAGAAGTCTCTTAGTACCTGAAATATCTAATATAAGTTAAAGAAAAGGCTAAGAACAACCACCCTAATGGAAAAGGGGAACATCCTATGCCACCACCTGAGAAGAGCTGGTGAATATGGAATCTGTAAGTGAACCTGAAAGTAAAACTGCTACTAGGCTAGTAGCTTAGCCCTTTACAAATAACTGCAAAGCAGGTAACTTAAGTATGTAGCAGCTGATTCTTTTGCAAGCTATTTTTTTATGTGCGCAGGGCCTGGCATCATCTTTTCCACTAGCATCAACACTTCTCAGCCAAGCCATGCAGGTGCCATCCCTGGGATAAACTGTCATGTTGGAATTCACATTGTAGCTGTGTCTCCGCAGGGACAACCTTGCTCATGCAGCCTCAGCTTCAGGTTGCAACCTTCTCCTAGTCTCTTCTGCTTCTGGCTGTGATACAGGTTCACTCAAACAGCTGTGGCAACTGAGGAATTCACCGCTTGACACAGTGGTCTACTACTGCTCCTTGGTGGAGATTACTCCCTCCAGAACTGTCAGCAAAGCAGGAAGTGAGCCCATGTCTTGGCCTCCTCAGTGTGGACTCCTGCTGGAGTCACGCTCGTGACCCAAGGCACTGGACTTTGGTCTGAGACGGCTGAGGCACAAACTTTCTGAGGGGGCAGTAACCTCTGGTGCGGGAATGCAACCGATTGCAAGGACTTCTTATATCTGCCACAGTAAGCTGGTATAGCTCATCCACCCTGTGTAAGCCCAAGACAGCTCCCAAAGCTGGAGGCAAGGATACAGGCTCTCACCTTGAACTTTCCTCCAGAAGGAAAAGCAGTGAGTCAACAGAACGACGTTCAATTGTCTGCCGGAAGTCCTTCAGCACAGGGCAGCTTGGCAAATTGTGCACCTGAAAGAAGAGGAGACAATGTAACAACAGGTTTGCCACTGTCTGAGCAAAGCCTGAAGACACTGTGGATGACTGTCCACAGAAGGCAGCTGTTCATGTCACAGCATTCATACTACAGTACGCAGTACGGTATTCATATGGGGAGTCCTTGTAGGGTTTTTAAGCATACAGATTTGCTCCATGTAACAAAATGATGGATGTTTGTTCTTGAGGCTACACTTCTATGTGAATGCATGATTTCTTTCTGAAACATTGCAGCAGATATACCTTAACTCACCTGCTCAGCGAGAATGTTATCGAGGAGAAGAAAAAAATCTACAGACTTATCACCCTCAATACCCATCTTCTCCTTAATTGCTTTCAAGTCATCAGAGATACCTGGCTGTAGCTGAGCATCCTTCAACTTCTCCCTGTCAGAGGATTAAGAAGAAAATAAAAAAGCAACTTTCACTTTGTGCTCCCGTCCCAGTGGAGTAGCCTCCCATCAGTGAGCGGCAGAAGAGAATAGAAATACACAGGGTAATGAGGAATTCCTGGTGTGGCAGAAAGGGCAGATACTGTGTCTCGATGCCAAGGATCAGAGCCTGCTATTAGCTCTCACAGAGGTGGAAGAAAAAACCGAGATGAGATGAAGAGGTTCCTGTAACCTAGGGCTGTGTATCAGTTAACAGATCTGGTAATACTGGAACATGGCAAATCTCTCCAGGGAGTAGCCTTTGCCGTTAACACCCTCACAAGAGAGGAGTTAAAAGCTTTGAACTGACTTCTGTATGGTGTGGGAAAAGGGAAACACCTAGAGATCCACTTGTAACTGAAATTCACCACTCACTCTGTTAAAAGCCATCCGCCCCCTTTACACTGTTTTAAACTTCATTTAATAACATTCAGCTGCTGTTTAGCTGAAAATACCAGTGCTGGCCATGCACTTCAAATACATTGCATGGGTTTTGTTTTCTCTGCCCCGCTTTGTTAGAGAAGGGGAAGGAAGAATTTGATTTAGGAGTTGTTTTTTTTTTTTCTTTTAGGAGCAGCTCTAGCTTCTGTTCAAAATTGAAGATGCTGGAAGTTCTGGCATAGGTAGCCTTAAGCTGGGACAGTGCTTTTTACTGCACATTAAAAATACACCTTGATACGGTCATGAAATATGCACAGTTGGTGGGCTTAGGGTGTGTATGAGGAAGAACCTGCAGTTTACTCTCTTTTTGCACAGTTTGTTACTAGTGGAGTCTGAATATATTTTGGCCTTCCTGAGCTGCTTTTACAAGCCTTCATCTCACCACCATCAAGAACAATCCTTAGTCTGCAGAGCTGAGCATTAAATAATGAGTTTTTGCAAATGAATTCTTGAGGAACTTTGGACAAAAATATGCTAGTGTATAATCCAATCAAATCGTAATACACTTGCCTCTGCTGTCTAATTTCCACCCTCTGCTCCCCATGCCTAACCTGGCTTAGGCTTAGGCTTGCTTTATTGAATACTTGGCTCCGCAAACATGAGTGTTCTTTTTAGGTAGGATGTTTCTTATTTTACTTGAATAGTCTTTGTTGGGACTTTTAAATGTGTCAAGGCTGAATATATTGCAGTTGTTTGAAGGTGTAAATGTGACAGAAATGTTGTAGTAACCCCCAAACCTGAAGACGAGTTTAAAAAGGAGACCCAAATACGTTCACACGTGAAAGGCATGTTAAGAGATGTAGGTGACATTAATTCTGCCCTGAGACAACGCCACAAAACAGCTCTACAGTAGCTAGTAATGGGCATTTGCTAGACAGACCAAATTAAATTGGTCTTTCAAGAAAAATTCTCTCTCTCTGGCTGCATGGTGCCACTGCATGGTATTTTGACTCCTCTCACCTGGTATTTTATACAACAACTAGCTAACCATTCCCAGAGAACAGTAACTGCCAGAGGAAAAAATTGGGAAATGGGAAAAACGTGCTGTTTCAAATTACTACTGCTGAAGTGAAACAGCAGTGAAATCATATGGGGAGGCATGGCTGGCAATTACCTGCTCAAGCATTTCAGGCGCTGGCAGTTCTGGTAATTGGGGTAAAGGATTTCAGAGCTTGCTTCATCAGTGACAATGACGACAGGTCCTGTGGAATGAGAAGGAAGGAAGCTTCTAGATTCCTAGTACAACTGCACGTCTTTAGGTGCTTTAATCACTCCCACAGTCTTGGGACCAAATTTTGAATTTCTTGTGCACAGCAACTCCCCCTGAAGCTCTGTTGCACAAGATGAAACAGCCTGATCGGTGGCTTTGAGCTCAAGTCCGCTGTCGTCAACTAGCAATTCCCACTGAGCTATCACCTTCAACGCAATCCACTGTACTTGTTTCTGTATACATAGCACTTATTTCCAGGGGGCTATTATGTGCCATGTAACTCCTCCTAGTTGTGTGTTCATTTTTTCTAGTGGTAAAAATTAGTTTCTGTGCCAGGAGGAGTCGTGACCTCCGGCAAGTCACTTTTGCTATTTATTCCTGGAACTGAATACATGGGAAACAGAGGTGAGGTATTCATACAGCAGTTATAGGATGTATGAGTATTTGTCAACTATAGGATATAGCTGAAAGTTTCTCCAGGTGCCAAACTTGTGAAGGATCTTGGGAATCCTACAGATGAGATACTTAGGTTTCTCTAGAAGCTTTTTCCAGATGCAACAGTGCATCTTGAGAACAGTGAACCTGCAACTCTTTGCTGAAGCTGGTAAATGCTAACCTCCTCAGTTGATCTGAAATTGCAGCACTGATGGCAAGAGATCCAAGCTGGGCGCCAGCAGAAAGCTACACAAAGAGAAGGAGCAAGTGACAAGCTGATAAGGAACACATGGAACAGAAGATCATGGGGAACAGGGGCAGGAGCCAAGAACAAAGGGAAAGGCAACAACCAGGAGCCGAAGGGAACTGGGATGCGAGATATGTGTATCTAAGGAAGACTGAGAAAGCAAAGGCAGTGGTCGGAAGTCTCCCCTAACCTTCTTTCTGCTGTTGGTACAGCCCAGCTAGCAGGCAGCGCGTGGACTCCAGATTCCGGAAAATATTAGTGGAACGGACACTGAAAGAGAGAAAGCAGCTCGTGAGGTAGCATTTTCTCCTTCCTGTCAGCAGGGCTGCAGCTGGTGAGGACTTGCTGGAACTTGGTGTTCTGCTTTCTCCATGGCTTCCGAAACCTCTGGTAGGATTCATCTCACCTCGCTATGGGTATCTTAAAAAATACAGACACTTTCGTCTGAACTGCCATTTAGCTTCCCTTCAGAGAAAGAGGAGATGACAAATGGGCACTTCTCAGGTGTGATTTATCTCTTCCTAAGACAGCCATTCCCGGTACTACTGATGTGAGCAGCAGGGGTGTTCTTCATCTCACCGAACTTCAGCCGTTTACTCTACAGTGAGTTAAACTGTACTCAAGAAATGCCTTTTTCTCTTCCCTCACCATAAAGGTAGTTTACCTAACACCACTGTCAACAGCTAAACCTAGGTGAGCTTAATCCACCTCTCAGGTGCCTCTCAGCACTGCTGGGAAATTGGACGCTTTGTGCAATGAGCAAATTCTCATAACGGGTTCTGCAGACTAAGGCAGAAGCGAGGGCAAAGGGGACAGCCGGTTGGCTGTGGTAAGCTAGGGCAGGCTGGTCAGGAAGTTTCTCTAGCACAGGGGTACTTGTTAGGAGGGAGGAAGCAGGGAAAGGTCCAGAAAGAAACCGAGAGACTCACAAGACCTCTGTAGGCTTAAATGTCGGTGAGAGAAAGTTGGCTTCTTCCACATAGCTTCTCCTCAGCCTTTGCCCCAGGGCAAACATCTGCTGCATCCCTACTGTTGTCAGCTGTCCTGCAATTGCACCACCCTGAATAGAGAGAAGGGAAAAGTCTTGTTTGAAACATGGAAATAAGCAAGTGTCTGGACAGAATATGAAAGCACCAGGAAAGAGAGCCTCACCTTGAATGTGGTTTTTTTGTACTGCTCATCATAGGGTGAGGGAGGTCGTGGTCTTCCATTTAGGTCAGTCACTGTGTACTCAAGCTTAGTCTGAGTAGGTACGTCTAAAAGAGTGGGATGCCATTCCACCTGCTCCAAAACAAACAAATAATGCTTCAGTAGAATACGAGGACCTTCAAGCATACGAGGACCAGCATTAGACCAATGCTGGACTGTTATGGTGTGCTGCTTTGGAGATAACAATATGGAGCCAAACGGAACCACTCTCTTGTAACCATATAGCACGTACAGAAATGACAGCAGTGCAGCATCTTGGACGTGCTGATCTGCTCTGCACTGAGCATAGATACTCCTAGTGCTGAGATACAGTGTTTGCCTTCCTCCCCTTACAACTGAAGACGCTGTAGGCAATCGCTATTACTACTACTTATTACACGTTGAAAGGTTTCTTTAAGCTAATTACTAGTACCAATATCTGCCAAGGCAAGAGGTTGCCTTATTGCAGGAGTTGGATCAATTGCAGTAACACGAAGGCAAGTAAGTGCGTGTTTGCTGAATATCTGTTACAACGTGTACTGGCTGCTGGGGAACAGCTTAGTGCTAGGCATTAAGGCGCAGAGCTCTTTGAAGTGGCAGGCTTTGTGTCTGCAGTTGCAATCTGTGTTATTGCTGCAGCTAATAGCTATGCCCTGTGACTCCACTCCATGCTCTCTTAATCTGAAGGCTCCCTACAGCCTGGTTCCCACAACTATGATTGTCCCTGTGCTGTCTTTGAGCACGTCCAATAACATGTAGTGTGACAAAGCTATATCAGTTCAATTTTAACTTCTAAATTCTCATGTTTCCCCTAAATTTACTATTGACAGTCCCTTTGGAAAAGAAAAATAAAAAAAAAATTAGACTGATACAAGTGAAACAGCATCTCAAAAATCTGCATTGTGGCACTTCAGCCAAACACCATTTTCCTCTGAGCTTCAAACACAACTCAACAGAAACCTAAAGCCAATGCTAGCGCAACTTATTTCACCACAAAGAAAGTGTGAATCCTGTCAGCTCATGGATCAGGACAGCACCAAGAGCCAGCAGATACTCAGCTCATTGGAAATATTGTAATTAATAATGTTTTTAGCTTTCACTGCATCTTTTCTGTATTGTTATGGTCCTGCACTTCAATACCACCACTGCATGCATAAAGAGTATAACAGTAACATTTTTTTGAAACTATTGAGTGTTTTAATTCTAGATGAGGTATGGGAAAGATCCAGGATGGCAGCAGTCTATGACGGTGTGAAACGGAACTCGTTCTGTCCACCTGTTTGGTATTTTTTAGATATAATTCGGCATTACCAGCGCAGTTGGAGAGTCTAGGTATGCCTTCTGTTACACGCCCGTGATGGCCGCGGGCACAGTGCAGTGCAGGTAATCAACATCCGCTGTTAGTGGCCAGATCAAAACTTGGTTAATCCAGAACGTCCCCAATCCGGCGGGGAATTTCTGCTAGAAAAGCTTTTGAAACAGCCTTGAGATGGTGCCGCCTGCTCGGGAGAAAGCTAGCAGGGGTTTCAGGGCTGCCCTCGACACTCTGCGTGCCCAGACAACCCGAGCACTACATGTGCTCACAAATGACGATATATATATATATATATTTTT